ATCTCTGGGTAGGAACGAAATGACCTGGCTTCTTTCCATTTTTCAGATAGAGTATGTGGTGACAAATTCAGATATATTTGCTACTCAATCACTTTCCTTTTGAAAAACTCACATTTATATTAATCTGTTATTCCTAAAAAGAAAACAGAATTTTAGAGTAAGAGAATTACACACAATCTCATATTGTGGAATTCATGCCATTTGGGTTTTATAAAGGAGACTGCTTTTGAATAACTTTCATCAATTTAGATCGTATAATCCATGTCTTTATATTTCAGCACGTATTGAATATTTTGTATTGAAGTGATGTTTTTGTGTTGATGAACAAGAAACATGAAGGAATAATACTTGCATTTGTCAGTCTCTACCTCTTAAGCTTAAATTACAGGAAAGTAGCTTTATTTCATGAAGTTTTACTTAAACAGCACTTTTGTCAATGTTGTTAGTTATTAATGTTGCTAATTTTCTTGAGAGGACCAACTTAGTATCTATGACTAGTAATTTCCATTGATGTCATTTTTATCTTGTTATTTTATTAAATAAAACAATCAAAGAGTTTGCAGTATACCGTAACTTAATATCATCAGTGTTTTAATGGATTCTTTTTTCAAATTGCAGAGTTGAAATTCTTCAGTGTATTTATAGTTAGATATTGACTGGAGAATTGTGGATAGAATTCTAAAGCCAACGTAACTGAAGTTTACATGTTATTGCCCTCTGGGGTCTGATTGTGTTTAGTATGGTTTAGCTAAAAACTTATAAAGGAATCAAATTGAATTAGAATAAGTTAGGGCTCCAATATTCACTAAACACTTTCCAAAGAGGAAATACACTTTTATACTGAATTTACAAATTGTTATACATCCTTAAACCATGTTATTTGCCTTTATATTTATTAACAGGCACATGTCTAAATAAAGAATAGTAGCCCCAATTGAGATAAATTTATTTAACTATATTTGAAATTCATTTGAGATTAATCTATTTAACCATAACTGGATGTAAGTCTTCCTAGTTAAAATCTGTTCAGATAGATAGATAGATAGATAGATAGATAGATAGATAGATAGATAGTATACACTTTATATCTATACATTAGAATATTGTGTTGAGTTTACATTTATTCTACTGTTTCTCACATGTATGACATTTTATTATAAACTATTAAATGTTTTGTTCAATCAGAGAGAGAAAGAGAGAAAAGAGTGACAGAGAGAGACCCAGCAATGATTAAGAAAAAATTAACCTTTTCAGTTATATTCAAAATAGTATAATATGTATGTAATAGTCTTTTAAGCATGTAATTAAAAATTCTACACCTGATTCTTGTTTTAATTTCCTAAAAAAATAAGCATCTTATACTTTTAACTGAAATAGAAACCCAATGCCAACAGTCCATTTGCTTATATAGATTCATTGTTTGCGACGTGGGTGGAGAATTCACGGTTACTAGAGATACATGGACTTCATATAAAAGCTTAGATTTTTAAAATATTCAAGTATAGGCCATTTGAAAATACAACCTCTGAGAAAGGAATTCTGAATATTTTCCCTTTACACTAAAGTTGGAGAGTTGTTCTGTTGCAAAAATTAATTTGTGTCTTTAAAATTATCAGTTATAGTGTTTTCATCACTTTCATAACATAATCTCAACAACCAAACTTAACTAATACCACTGTTTTTAGGAGTTGAACATGAAGTGTCTCCTATTTAAGTAATAAGGGTATTATCTTAAAGGAAAACTTCATCATCACCCAGAGCCTAGGAAAGGAGCTTAAGAGGAGAGAGCATCGATTCTTTTGCAGTCAATAGACAAACAGGAAAAATGAGTCGTGATCTTTGTGGAGTCAACCTAAGAATTTCTACTGGGAAGCTCAGGTGAAGCAGAAAATCCTTGAGCACCACCACACCAGTAACTCCAGAAGATGCTGTTGGCAGACTGAGCAGCTCCTCCCAGACCCAGTGGTGGCAAGATGCCTTAAGTGCATTAATACAAATTGGCTTCTCTGACTGTTCCTGCTTTCTTTATCTCCCTGAGGGCACCTTGAGCGGAATAAAATTCATGGCATTGGTACCATGTAAATATGCAATAGAATAGTAAAGGTTTGGCATTTCCAGTTAGATTCCACTTGAACTGAGGGCAGTGGCATGCTCCCATAGAAGTGTGTTTGATTCATATTCTGCTTAGTCCTCTCTTAGATTCAATGATTATAATGCATTATTTCTATCTCAAAACCAACAATTACTGACTGCAACAATATAACTTAATTAAGTGATAGTTTGTATATGCCAACTCTTGACTTTTACTGTCTCTGCAAATAAAGCACATTTTAAGAAAAAATATGGAGCCAAATGCTTCCCAGAAATCACCACTCTGTTAAGTCTTTTCCTTTTTATAGAGATCTAGATACTGGATGGAATTATAGTTGTTTTGTCTCATTTTCTTGAAGTGATGTAATTGCATATAACTCTGCTCTTCTCTACTCCAAATTTCCAGGTCATAACTTTGGGAAAACAGCTTCATGACTGCTTCTTCAAGCTGAAACAATATTTTATTAAAAAGACTCTCCATGTGTACAGCCCTTAATATAGTCTTATCTCATAATTGAAATACACACTTGCTATTCTAGTGTGATACTTTCTGTTCTTTTTTTAAGTAGCTTTTACTGGTGACGCAGGTGAAAGAGATGTAACATATATTCCTTGTATATGATTTAGAAAGTACATACAAAATAAAAAATAATAATTATCACACATAATATCTTAGCTCTTAATTTTACAGTTAATATTATAACGTACCTCTCTGTATGTTGGATGTATTCAATATTTTGTATATATTTTATCTATATGACTGCATATATTCACTCACTTTAGTAAGAACACACAAAAATGAAATAGCAATAATTCTGTTCTAAAGGACCTAGTAGTCAAATTAAGTAAAATAAAATATGGTTAGAGAGAGAAAGCAATAAGTAATTAGAAATCTACAGAAAATTTCCTGTGAAATTTCAGAAGCAAGAGAAATTGTCTTTTGCTGGGAAATACAGGGAAGTTAGCACCTGTGTATATCTACATATAGATGTGTGTGTACATACGTATACATGTAGATATATATATGTAGATATATACATACATATATGTATATAAGTTCTTTGTAAAATCATGAACATTGTGACACTTTGTTCACCTTGTGGCCTCAAAAATAACAGGCTATAGATATAGATACAGGCTATACTTTCTGTGCCTAGCATGGTAGCAGGTGCAGAGAAGGAGCTCACGAAATACTTGTTGAATGTACAAATGAGTGAACCAAATTTTCCGCTTTTAGACATGTAACCATTTAATTAACTCATGCTTGGATAACAGGAAGTTACTTTAAATGACTGACCCATTTGATTTAACTTGTGCTAGAGTTCACTTCCTGTCCTCTGGCCTCATTCTGGTCACAAGGCAACTGGTAAGTCCAGGCAAGCCCACCTCTAGGCAGGAATGCAGAGCCAGGGGAGGTGAACCACGTTCCAGCGTTGCTGGAAAGCTGATGCTGCCCAACACTGCCTCCTCAGGCTCCAGATCTCTTTGGCCTGCTCAGATCAATTCTACCTCTCCTAGGACTTCTAGTGCTGTTCATTTCTCCAGGACTTAATTGCTGACCTATCTAATTCCCTGTCTCTCCAGCTTCATTTTTTCTGGACACAATGAAAAAGTAAATAACCAAACTCATTAAATAATGATCTTATTGTACACACAATCTAAGTCAATAATCGCTGGCTCCAGGGCCTACATAGATTTGTAGCAACCATCTTCCTCCTCAAGTTTTAGTTTATTATGTTTTACCAAAATAGCTGAACATCCCAAGTAAGTCCTCCAGGCTTTTAGACCTGTAATTTTTTCTTTCTTCATAAATTCTCTTCCTCTTTGCTATTCATGACTTCTCTGTTATTCTCCTCTTAAGTCTTTGAGAAAACTTGCTCAGATGCTTATATCTACCAAGTCTTTATAATTTAGAAGATTTTCACAAGGGCCGTAGCAAGTTTTAATTTGCTATGCATCATGGTGAATGGGAATGGGAAGATGAGCATGAAAAACTATTTGAATTCATAGATCTATGCCTTGCTTCATTGTTTTTGTTTGTTTGTTTTGTTCTTTACTATTTCTTTTCTTTTTTTTTTTTTTTTTTGAGACAGAGTCTCACTCTATTGCCCAGGCTGGAGTGCAGTGATGCAATCTTGGCTCACTGCAACCTCCGTCTCCCGGGTTTAAGCAGTTCTCGGGCCTCAGCCTCCCAAGTAGCTGGGATTAAAAGTGTGTTCCACCACACCCAGCTAACTTTTGTATTTCACTTCACTGTTAATACTAACAATAAGACTTTTACCAAATCGTGTTCTTACCTTTCAGATATTTAAACCATTTGAATATTTTATTTACGCAATTTTTAGATCAGACAAGAACAATATTATTTCCTACTCAAATATTATATGCTGCCTATAAATGAAAATTTTATCCTGTTTTTATTTTCTTACATTGAATTATATTCAACTGTCTTCCTTCCTAAAGTCTGAGAATAATGTAAGAGCCTTGGAAATCCTTTCATCACATCTTCTGAAGTCTTCTGAAGGTGGCTGTGAGTTACTTCAGCATAGATCACAAGTTTGTCACTATAACTACATTGCAATTATTTGCCCTCTTTAATGATATCTTTCATATTTCTTATGAATGCAAATAAAGAGTGAGCCAGTTGGAAAGCCACTGCAATGATTTTTCAGTCCATCACTACCAATTTTCACTTTGTGATTATAAGAAGCTGCTATCAGTGGTTCTTCAGTTCCAAATATGCCCAGTGTCTGGTGAGGGAAGCGAGCTGTCTGGTTCCTAGATGGCCTTCTTTCTATGCTCTGACATGGTGGAAGGGTCCAGGCAGCTTCTGAGGTCTCTTTTATAAGGGCACTAATCACGTTCATGATCCCCACTATCATGACCTAATCACCTCCTAAAATCCTCACCTGTTAATACTATTGCATTGGTGATTAAGTTTCAACATGTAAGTTTTGCGGGGACGCAAACATTCAGACCACAGCAAAAGGAGGCCCTTTAGTAGACTGACGCAATAACCCAGGGAAAAGATGATGGTGACTTGGCTTAGGGAAGTAGTAGTGGAAATCAAAGCTTTCGAATCTGGATTATGTTAGTGGTACAGTGAATAGGACTTACTTTTGGATTGAATTCGGCTTATGGTGAAAGAGGAAAAAAATGAGGCTAAATATTAGTTTTGATGCCTAGATGGGAAAGAATTGTGGAGGAGGAAATTCTAGAGCATGGGAGAAAGTCAGTGGTTCTGTTTCAGTCATGTAGATATTGAGATGCCTGGTACCCATCTAAGTAGAGATTAGGTAGGTGGTGACACGCGCCTGGAACTCAGCAGAGATTATGGGCTGGAGACGGATTAGATTACCTGGAAGAATGTATGGGTAGACAAGAAAGGATGGCTGAGAATGGACACTCAAACAAACCAGTGTTTAGCGATCATGTAAAGGAGGAGTCAGCAAAGGAGACTAGTGTTGAGGCCTGTGAGATAGCAGGAAAATAGAGCAAGGTGATTGTTATTTGTGGTTTGTCTCAAAAGCATCAAGAGGAAAATGTTGTAAAAGGTAGGAAAGTCAATCTTGTCAAATGCTGCTAAGAAGTGAAGCAATGAGGAGAGAAGTGAACTCTTTGGCAAGGTATAGGCTCTTGTAACATGGGAAGAGAAGTGGAGGTAGGGCTAAATTAAAGGAATATATGATGAATAATCTGGATCCAGAAGGAAGAAGGAAGTGTTTGGGCCCCAGGGTCATCACTGGGGGATCTCACTAGGGGACATTAAAAACCCTTTTGGTGGGTTATTAGAATTACAAAATCCAGGGGCAAAACTGAAGTTTTAGAAGCGGGAGTAACCTGTGTAACCTGTATAACCAAATTGCCCAGACCAAATCCTGTGAATGAGTAACTGGGATTCATTGGGCTCATGGAGCATGTTGTGTCTGTGTCCCCAAGGCAGCATAAAATGCCCATGTGCCTTCTGACGTATAGAATTAATTTGCCTGGAGACTAAGCTTCTGTCTCTCTGGCATGAGTCCTCCAGGTGTCCTGCATGAGACCTGCCAATGATGTGCTATCAGAGTATGCCATTTCCAACTAGAGAAGCATCATTCTTTGAGCAAGAAGATAGCAATAGAAAAGAAAGTAAGGTATAAATCAATAATGATAATACAGGTAGAAAGCAGAGTGATGACAACAGTGTGGATTCAAAGGCCATGGGGAGACTTAAAGATGTCCCACTGGGGACTAAAAGGGGCCAGATATCTGGAGCTGCAGTGAGGAGGGCCCTCTGCTGCCAGGGGAGTTGGTGAGAAGAGACTCAATGACATGAAATTTCATTAGATTACAAGGCCTGGTGTTGAAGAAATGTTTCAATTTGGAGTTTGGAAAGGTAGGTTTGGGTGGAATTGAGGAAAGCCTGAAAGTCAGGTTAAGGGACTTGGGCTGTATTTATTAAGAAAGATATCAGGATGGTTTGTGACCAAATAGGTGATGGGATGATCAGAATGATAAAAGCCTAAAATGAGACCCCAGCCAAGCATTCACCCTGAAAACTGTAACAAAGTATCTAGTGAGTTCAACAACATGCTATAAGGAAAAAGATGCATCAGAGATTTTATGAGAAGAGAAGAATAGCTTTCCTGTTTTCTTTTCTTTTTTTCTCCTGGTATTCTGAAGAGTTAGAGCATAAAACTTCCTAATTTTTATTCATCTTACCCAACCCAAATAACCTGATGTGAAAGAAAAAGGAGGAAATCCACCACCCCCTCCTCAACACACACCTTTAAAAAAAAAAAAAAGAAAACTGAACTCTCTCTTGTCCATCTTTTTATTCTGGTTATACCTCCTAAAATCTTATAGGCTTGGAGCCATGACAACTGAATATTCAATTTTTGCAAAATAGAATGATCAGAAAGTATTATACTTTACATCTCTGGTCACACCCTAATGCCATTCATATGAACATATAAAGGAGGAGATTATTCACATCTGACCACAGTTTCCAGAGCCAGAAGGAGACTTGAAAGATATTACATCATATCTAACCAACTCTTCAAGTCAGAGCTTGATTTTAGCTGCCTAGAATTGCAGTTGTGTCCTGCTGACTGGGGCAAGGTTCAGCCAGTTTGGGTGAGTTACTGCAAAAGAAGGAATATGATCCCTTATACAAAATTACATAAATCAATAGAGTCATATTTATTTTGCTAAAAATATATCTCAAACAGACTTACCAAATTGTTCAATACATCCTTGTCTTGAGTTACCGTTTCTGTAGTTTTTCATTTACATAATATATTTTTCTGTATTTTTGCTCACATATGACATACTACTCAAAAACTTTCTAAAACATTCTTATACTCTAGAGACACAACAAAATACTCAACTTAAATCAGATACTAATTTATGAATGCATTATAGGAACAAATCATTAATATTATTCTCATGTTTAGGATATCCTCAGACCATCTCAAAAAAGAGGAAAAGATGACTATGATGGCTCACCAGTACCCCTCTTGGATCTTCATTAATGAGAGGACATTCATAACCAGGTAACCACACACCTTATATTATACATTATCCTACTCACCAGTCATTTGTGAAATATACCAAAGTTTTCTAAGCATGATGTATGATCAACAAGATTAATAACATGAATCCTCAGTAGAGATACTAGATAAGAAGTTGAAAAAGTATGTCCCTAAAGACTGCCAAATTTATTCTCTCATGGAACTATCACTAATATTTGGTTTAACAGTGGTTTTATTTTATTAAAAGTGACATTTCTGTTTTAATAGTTGGGATAATACTGAAGAGCAGCATTAGGTGACAGATCTAAGGCTTCTCCTAAATGATAGTTCTAAAGAATTAACCCCAGGGCCAAAAACATTATGCCGTGTCCTAACCTCTCCCTCCCTTGCTCTTCATGACACTTTATTTTTACTGGTTCCCTCTTGACATTAGATTATGCAATATATGGCCGACATCCACAACTTTTCTTATACCCAGCAAACCGTATCTCACATTGCTTTGGGAACAATAGGGTAGGGGCTTAAAAGCTATAAGAGTAAAGATGAAAACTGTAACTGGCCAAGCTATAGCAGAGGCTGGAAGCTGAGGGGAAATGAAATCATGAAAAACCAAGTGGTACTGAAACATGACCCAAATCTTATGGGGGATAGGAAAAGGAATAAAGCCAAATAAATGATAGAGAGAAGGGGAAGTGAATGATGCAGGGTTGGGCAGTAGAAAAGTGAAGGAAACAAATATGATCAAATACGGAAATAAAGCCACAGCTGGAAGATAAGGATGAACTAAAAGCAGTGGGAAAAAGACATGATGCAAAGGATAAAGAATCCACTGACTTATTCCTCAAACACTTATTGACTGCTCAATGTGAACAGGTATCTTTTTCAGACCCTGAGCATTCAGTAATGAACCAAACAAAACCCTTACTTTCATGGAGTTACATCATAAAGTCGGGATAGAGTCAATACGTAAGATAAATGCTGAGGAAATGGAGTAAAGAGTGCTGGAGATAGAGAGCGGAAAGGGTTCTGATTGCATGTTCCTTCCTCAGTGAGGAGGAAGCATTCGAGGAAAAGCCTGCAGAAAGGGAAAAAGCAAGCCATGCAGTTTTCGCAGGTATTCCAGGCAAGGGGAACGGCAACCCCGCAGCCCAAAGACAGATGCCTATTTGTAAGGATCAGGGAGGACAGTGTGGGGAAATGGAAGTAGAAAGACAGCAGGAGAAGATGAGGCCAAATGGGCCCAGAACATGTAGGGTTTGATAGGCCATCATGAGGCTTGGTATTTCCCACTAAATAAGATGAGAAGCTGTGGAAGGATATTGAGCACATGAGTGACAATATCAGTCTGGCTGCTGTGTTAAGAACACAGTAGAGAGGGGACAAGAGTGGAAACAGAGAAGTTACCAAGGAGCTGACAGTCCAGGGTAGAGATGAAGGTGGCTTGATCCAAGGTGGCAGCAGTAGAGGTAGAAAACAATGATCAGATTCTGGATATATTTTGAAGACCAACACAGTAGGATTATTTCCAGAAGGGTTAGACATGGAGTATGAGAGAAAGAGAATAACCAAGGATCATTCTAAAAATTTCGATCTAGAAAAATGGAGTTAACATTTTGTGAAATCATGAGGAGAAGCAGGAGCTACAGGAGGAGCAGGTTTGCAATTGAGGATCCAGAATTCAGTCCTGGACACATTACATTTGAGATGGAATAAGAAGCATTTCTTAAAAATGAGGTCCATGGACCACCTGCTTCTGAATCAGACGCCTGTTCATGGTATAGACCCTGGGCTTCACCCCAGAACGAATCATATGATTCTGATGCATACTGAAGTCTGAGAACAAATGCTCACAGTAGGAAAGGATTAAAGTTCTGAGAACTTTTGACCTTCTAACATAAACAAAATTCCTGGAGCTGGGGGAAATCTCTGCCAGGCTGTCACCAGAAATTATAACAATGCCACTGACCAACTGTGATATCCAGCATACCACAAATCTGGCAAACACACCTACTCATTTATTCACTTGGCAAGTAGTTTTTTAGCTCCCTCTCTATACTAGGCATTGTTGTGGTGAACGAGACAAAAATTAACAATTTATTGACGTATTTTTATTTTCCTGCACAGAACTACATGAAAAGAATGGAAATTAATAGTAAAACAGAATCTTCATAATCAGAATTTTGGTTTCAGCAAATTTCATGAGGATTATATATGATCAGTAAAATAAGAAGTCCTGATATTAATGATAGCACAGTAGGCAACATAACGTTTTTATCCCACTACTGGATGAGAATTCTGAGTTTAGAAACTTCCCTGTTCAAAGGGTATTAGCATAGGTTAGTTAGCTTTGTGCTGAAATGACTAAGCTTCTAGTTGCTGTTTTATTGCCCGGAGTCATCACTGCACACTGCTTCACATAGTGAGCTGGGTGGAAAAAATAAAATAAAATAAAGCTTTTTATGGTTACTTTCAAAGTATTTTCACTTTAGGTCATAGCCTGAAATCTGGGCATTTTTAGAGGTGAATAAATGCTAACCATGTATTTAAAAAAAAAAAAACCAACAAATTAATGGGGAAGTTAAAATCCAGTTTTAGAATGCAGATCATATTTCACTCTCAGAACCTATTAGACTTTTTCTGCTACTTAGGAACCTAACATAAATTTTGTAACCTATGCCTCTTCTAACGGCAGCTCAAAAGGTACGTGTACATTCCTGTCCTTAGTAAATAAGTTTAATTAGCATGATGTAATAAATTTTAGCAGAAAGTGCATTATTCCAAATAGTTTCTTTTTCCAAGCATGTTGGCCAGCAACCTTTGTTGAAACAAAGGAACCAGCCACCTGCACTTCTAAGCACAAATTAAACACAAAGAGCCAGTGTTCCAGAGGCTGCCTCCTACCTGGCCAGTAGAGCCAGAAGGCAATGTTTGCCCAGGTTTCATGTACAGGGTCTTCCCCTGATCAAAGGAATAGGAGCAAACACTGAGTGCCCCTGTGAGTCCTGAAGGTAAGTTTCTAAGGAGAGAGCATCTTCTCCTGAAGAAGGCTGAATACCTGTCTTTAATAAAGTATAAGAGAGCCTGTTCTGACATATTTGTATAGAAAGCTAGAATTTTAAAATAAGCCAGAGATAGAGGATTTTAACTGCATGTTTAGAAGCATCTACTTAAAAAATTAGAATTTTTGTCCACATGGGGATTGTTTTTAAAAATTCACATTATTCATGTTTGATGATCCAGTGAAATGAAAAGCAATTATGAGAAACTGGGTATCTCATCTGTTATTTTGTCACAAAAAGGTCAATAGCGTCATCACAAGATATGTGAAAGAAGGACATTCATTAAGTTTTTTTTTATATCTGATATTTTTCAGTAAGCATATATTGTCCACAGTCATTGAGCATATCAATATGACTCAATAATCGGTTATTCCTAGTAAAATTGATCTACTTTGTCGTTACCTATTTTATCAATTAAGGAGGTTTAAAAATAATGAGATCATTTGTCTGCCCAAGATATACTAAAAATGTTCTCATAGAAAGTCGAATGAAGTCAAAATTCAGACTCTAGAAATACATTACATGTATGGAATTTATTTGAATTTCTGGATGTGTGAATTTTCTATACCATATTCCCTAAGAGAGCATACCATGGGCAAGAAGGAGGAGGAGAGGAGGGGAGAGGAGAGGAGGGAAGGAGAGAGGAGGGGAGGGGAGAAGAGGGGAGGGGAGGGGAGGGGAGAAAAGAGAAGAAGTAGCTGTCCTACTCATGGAGCTTGCAATCTGAAGCTGTAGCTCAAACCTGAGCCTTTATCAGAACCACCTGGAGTGTTCTTTAAAAGAAAGATTGCTAGGCTCCATCCCCAGAGTTTCTGATTCAGGAGTTCTAGGGTGTGGTCTAAGTTTGCATGTCTAAGTTCCCAGGTGGTACAGATGCTGCTGGTCTAGGGATCACACTCTGAGGTCCACATAGGTCTAAAGACCTGAAACAAACTGACATGTATTCTGAGGGAAGGAACCCAGTTCTATGAAAGAATACAGCCCTAGTTTAAACAAGAGATCCAAGAAGGCTTCCCTAGAAACAATGTTTGTACAGAGATCTGAGTGAGGAGGGAGCTATCAAAGTTCAGGGGAGTGGGTGGAGAGTGTTTCTGATGCAGGAAATCTGCCAGAAATTCTTACGGCCATGGAGCAAAGAGTTCCCACCAGTGAAAGGTGCCCAGGGTGCTGGGGTGCAGAATACGGGGAAAATGTCTCTTGAACGGAGGCTGAAGACGAAGGCAGGAGAGAGACCAAACAGGACTTAACCTGCCATAAGGATGTGGGGGTTTTATCCCAAAAGAAATGGAAAGACATTTAAGACATTTAAAGATGTTAACAAAGCAGATGATATGATTAGATACGTTCTACATACTCTAGATTTAGTGTGGAGAATGTTTGGAGGATCCCCTGAATAGCAGCAAGGAGTTTGCTTATTATTATTATTATTATTATTATTATTATTATTATTTGTGGAATGTAAAGATAACCAGTGGTGAAAGTCATGGCAGCATTACCGAAGAACAGTGTCAGAGCCAGTGAGTGTAAGAGCCTGTGTGTCAGGAAGGCTCCCATTTTCAGGCTCCTGCTCATGTTGATGGCCCTGAGAATCACTGGCTCCCTGTTGTGTTTCAGACCCTCTAGTAACAATCCCAAACGTCCAGGGGGCCGAAAGGCATATCACTACAATAAATGAAAGACTTCATTAAACAGGATAGTTTCTCCCTCCCAAGGGAGCAAGGGGCATCACAGTGTGAAGTCAAGGTACTCATTCTCAATAAGCACAGAAGTCCCTATCTGTTCATGCACAAAGGGTGTAATTTTACAGCAAGCTTGCATCTGCTCCCATAATATTGGTGTTGTGTGGCACACCCGTGTTTACTTTTCAACTGGCTTAAAAAAAAAAAACTGTAAGACTTGTCTCAGAAAAACAGGAAATGGAAGGCTAAACCATGGGCAAATGGGAAGCAAAACTCAAATATG